GTTATATCATCATATAATCTTAGCTGTTATATCATTGTACGATCTAAGCTGTTATATCATCGTACGATCTTAACTGTTATATCATCGTACGATCTTAACTGTTATATCATCGCATGATCTTAACTGTTATATCATCATATAATCTTAGCTGTTATATCATTGTACGATCTTAGCTGTTATATCATCGCATGATCTTAACTGTTATATCATCGTACGATCTTAGCTGTTATATCATCGCATGATCTTAACTGTTATATCATCGTACGATCTTATCTGTTATATCATCGTACGATCTTAGCTGTTATATCATCGCATGATCTTAACTGTTATATCATCGTACGATCTTAGCTGTTATATCATCGTACGATCTTAACTGTTATATCATCGTTCTTAGCTGTTATATCATCGCATGATCTTAGCTGTTATATCATCGTACGATCTAAGCTGTTATATCATCGTACGATCTTAACTGTTATATCATCGTACGATCTTATCTGTTACACATCGTACGGTCTTAACTGTTATATCATCATATAATCTTAGCTGTTATATCATCGTACGATCTAAGCTGTTATATCATCGCATGATCTTAGCTGTTATATCATCGTACGATCTTAACTGTTATATCATTGTACGATCTTAACTGTTATATCATTGTACGATCTTAACTGTTATATCATCGTACGATCTTAGCTGTTATATCATCGTATGATCTTAGCTGTTACACATCGTACGGTCTTAACTGTTATATCATCGTACGACCTTAGCTGTTATATCATCGTACGATCTTAACTGTTATATCATCATATAATCGTAGCTGCTATATCATCGTACGATCTTTACTGTTATATCATCGTACGATCTTAACTGTTATATCATCATATAATCTTAGCTGCTATATCATCGTACGATCTTAGCTGTTATATCATCGTACGATCTTAGCTGCTATATCATCGTATGATCTTAACTGTTATATCATCATATGATCTTAGCTGTTACACATCGAACGATCTTAGCTGTTATATCATCATATAATCTTAGCTGCTATATCATCGTACGATCTTAACTGTTATATCATCGTACGATCTTAACTGTTATATCATCGTACGATCTTAACTGTTATATCATCATATAATCTTAGCTGCTATATCATCGCATGATCTTAACTGTTATATCATCGTACGATCTTAACTGGTATATCATCGTATGATCTTAACTGTTATATCATCGTACGATCTTAACTGTTATATCATCGTACGATCTTAGCTGTTATATCATCGTACGATCTTAACTGTTATATCATCGTACGATCTAAGCTGTTATATCATCGCATGATCTTAAAAATGTAGTTGGTAAATCATGATTGTTGTATCATCGCTTGATATTAGCTGTAAGATTATCGTATGAGCTAAACAGTTATTTTAGTGTATGTAGCTATTTAGTCCGCATATCGTCCCTGCTTTCTGTAAGTACATAATGTGTCTTTACCTCGATTTACGTACGCTTATAATAAGTGTGTTTGTATATGAACGATTATGCTACATTATAAATGATCACCCATCTGTTGTAAAACGATCGATACAGGTCAAACTGTCAGACACCTTCATCACAACAGAGTACATATATAGCGCATTCTCTCATTAACGTAATTAGGTGTCCATTCATCAAAAGTTCTTCGGAATAATTTGATAATGATAATAAGTATGAACATTGGTATTGATGATATAGAACAACGTCTATATCTGTGTCTGTTGGAATGTTAGTGCCAGTCTACCACTTGTTACTGGTACTTACTGGTAAGAGATGTACACTGGGCCGGGTATTCCATCTGATCTCGGCGTAACTAGCTCTGTGATTTTAATGGTCGGTACCTTTGTGTGACATTTAACCGTTTCAGCCGACGACAGTCACTACCAAGACTTTACATAACCTTATTTTTACCATTAATATTTTGTCTCATTGGTCTTTTGTTTTTCTGTACAAAATCAGGTCCAGAATGTGAAAGTTGAGGATGGCCAGCTCCGCCGTTACTCCAGCATGGCTTGTTATCCTTCTTGTCGGCGTTTATCCTTACAACGTCTACAAAGAGGCGCCAGTGTACGTAGCGGGGCCCAGGAGGGGCAATTATTCTTCATTGAAATATAACAGAACCAAAATAGATATACGTAAGTGAATACCGTCCTTGCTATATTCAAAGTAACCTGATAGATTTTGGAAATGTGTGCATCAACACTCCGTATTCCACACAGGAGTATTAAATAAATACATGTCGCCCATATATATTCCGCTATGCACCTCTCAGATGTTCTCACTGTATCAAGACGTTAAGTAGGAAAGGGTTTGTTGTGATGGGTACTGAGATGGTGTAATATTCAATTCAAGTAGGTCTTTGTCTTACATTGCGGTTACTTAGCACTAAACTTTACTTTTGGTAACAATCGGGGAACATTAGTGAAGCAGAGTACCTTATTGTTCTGAAACACCTGGTCGTACTTTCATGTACGTGTATGTTGTGTTATCGTATCAGTCTTTGTTCATAATTTGCCCTCATGTCATCGAGTTTGCTTTGTGTTGACGTATCGGTAATTTCATATTTTTGTGAACAAACATATACCTACACATGAACGTCTAAACGCTAAGAACATGCTATATTTGTCGTATATTTTTCAGTGTTTGATAATGCTAAGCCTGCAATATTATAGAAACGTTTTACTTGAAGGCATTCTTTAGAATATTATTGCAAATGTCTTAGATTGGCTGTTTACTTGTTACAAGATACATATATACTGTGTACTATCACACCTGTATAATGTGATATGTGCTTTTCATTTTTGTCCAGGAAAAATTAGACAACAACGTTTTCATACACCGACACAGAGAGACATCGAACGGAACGTTTCAATTGAATGGGACTATACAGATTTCAGTCTTCAGTTTAAAAATATTGGTGGTCCAGCCTTCAAACTCAGGAGAGCTCCTCGTGCCACACACGGGGAGCCATGGCCTTTACCACAGACCTACCGGACAAACAAAGAACAAGTGTACCGAATTGATCCGCACTCATTCAATATCAAGGTGGAGAATTATTCTTGTGTTATTTTAGAGAAAGCTATCCAACGTTACAAAGATTCCGTATTTAAATTCGCTTCCGAAGAAAATTATGACAATTTGAAATATTTGAAAAATGGTGGATTTGATAAAGACATTCTAAATTTGAGAAAAATTCACGAAGATGCCACGGCCATTACGTGGATGTCAGTGGTGCTTAAAGAAACCTGCTCAAGTCAAATGCACGAGTCTTCCAACGAAACTTGTGAGTAGGAGTATTTTTATGATCAGCAATTAAATGCTGGCATATAATAAACACATTCCTCGCCTAACTCCTGAATATATGTGTGTACATTCTCCATATTCAATGGTATGCGGTAGCAATTATGTGCTTATGTCAGCAGAATTTATGTATACAAATGTTTTATTGGGAAAATAAAACACCATTTTTTGTAACATTTTCCCATTAAACGAAACAGCGATCTGTATATATCAATTTCAATTAAAAACTAATTTTGAGAACTGCAGTAATGTTCGGATCGACCTGTGGAAAATATTTATATTCTATCCTACTCGTGAAATATGTACACTATTATACGGGAAATCGCTTTTTTCAGAAATCTTCCTATGTATGCAATGGCTCTATATTTTTCCTGTTTCAAAGACAAAGGCGCATGCAGACCGATTTGTTTCTTGTTTGTGTTTTTATTTGATAAAAGATAGCATGAAACAAAATACCACGTGCATGTACCTGTATTGACGTCAGAACGGACGGACAAAACGTTCGGCTCGACGTCCTAGAAACTTGGACACCACGTATGTCACTAAACATTTATATATATACCGCTGAAGACTCCATTGATGTTACTATGCTGTAAAGAAATACCAAAATCAGCCAGTGAATAAAAGCATAGAGCTATGCCCAACACTACGTCATGATCGCCAGGATCATTTTGTTTTCAAATAGATTTAAACTTAAATTTTCCTAACTTTCTTTCTGAAGTGAATTCTAGCCATAGTCACCGATAACACGAAGTGTTTGACGAATATTTGGAGAAAAATACTTAAGCTTTTGTTGTTTTTTTTTTAATCTGGTTTTAATTTTTGTTTAACTACATTGTATCGGTGAATCGTAAAGAATCCCTTTGTCTCTGAAAATGTTTTAAAACTAAAAAAAATAAAAATTAAAAAATGGGAAATCGAAATACACGAAGATGTCAAGATTGAACTGCTGGTAGATGACAAAATAGAATATGTATGTAACATACGTTTAGATTCACATTTGCGGTGCAATCCACTATGTGAAGAATACAAGAAAGTGACTTTCATAAGTCTTCATGCCATATGGATGTATCCGCTGAACTTTCATATACATGAATGTTATAAAATGAAACTGGCTTTCAATCCAGATATGAACTTATAGAATATAACTTTTTATTTCTTAGATTCGCTATTGGTTAAGCCGTTTGGGATCTTCTTGAGAGCTATCGATGTGTGGGGCGCCTTGAGGGGACTCGAGACCTTCAGCCAGATAGTATATAAACAGCAGAATCAGGTAAGACCGCCCGACGATTCTATCGACATAAACCCAACACTGTGACACATTTCTCCACATACGAAGCATACGATTTTTTTCACTGAAAGTCTATATTTGTTTGTAAATTATTCTTTAAGCTTTGTATTATTTGTATTATATTCTCTCTGCATTGATGTACATTTCTTAGTTGTAAAGTACTTGTGTTAGCCTGTATTGTATATTAGCTCTTTTTCATATTTGTCTGTGGAAATGTCTTATCAGTTTTCTGTATGTAGAAGTGGCAGAGTATTCTACTCTTTTTCAGTAATTCTTAAGGTGTGTACATTGTATTGTTAGAGTCACGGAGACGGAAAACTTGCCATCCAATCAGTATTCGTTTGTAGAGCTGTCGGGTAGAGGGACCACGATATATTAGTCGGTAGAGCTGTCGGGTGGAGGGGCATCGATAGATTAATCGGTAGAGCTGTCGGGTAGAGGAGCCATGACAGATTATTGATAGAGCTGTCGGGTATAGGGGCCACGATAGATTAGTCGGTAGAGCTGTCGGGTAGAGGGGCAACGATAGATTAATAGGTAGATTTGTCGGGTAGAGGAGCCATGACAGGTTATTCGGTAGAGCTGTCGGGTAGAGGGGCCACGACAGATTATTGATAGAGCTGTCGGGTATAGGGGCCACGATAGATTAGTCGGTAGAGCTGTCGGGTAGAGGGGCAACGATAGATTAATCGGTAGATTTGTCGGGTAGAGGAGCCATGACAGGTTATTCGGTAGAGCTGTCGGGTAGAGGGGCCACGGCAGATTATTGGTAGAGCTGTCGGGTAGAGGGGCAACGATAGATTAGTCGGTAGATGTGTCGGGTAGAGGAGCCATGACAGGTTATTCGGTAGAGCTGTCGGGTAGAGGGGCCACGATAGATTATTGGTAGAGCTGTAGGGTAGACGGACCACGACAGATTAGTCAATAGAGCTGTTGGGTAGAGGGGCCACGACAGATTAGTCAATAGAGCTGTCGGGTAGAGGAACCACGATAGATTAGTCGGTAGATTTGTCGGGTAGAGGAGCCATGACAGGTTATTCGGTAGAGCTGTCGGGTAGAGGGGCCACGATAGATTATTGGTAGAGCTGTAGGGTAGACGGACCACGACAGATTAGTCAATAGAGCTGTTGGGTAGAGGGGCCACGACAGATTAGTCAATAGAGCTGTCGGGTAGAGGGGCAACGATAGATTAGTCGGTAGATTAGTCGGGTAGAGGGGCAACGATAGATTAGTCGGTAGATTTGTCGGGTAGAGGAGCCATGACAGGTTATTCGGTAGAGCTGTTGGGTAGAGGGGCCACGACAGATTATTGGTAGAGCTGTCGGGTATAGGGGCCACGGCAGATTAGTTAATAGAGTTGTCGGGTAGAGGAACCACGATAGATTAGTCGATAGAGCTGTCGGGTAGAGGGGCTACGACGGATTAGACAAAATGATTATGGCTGTTCGGGTATATTTATGCTTCCCGAAGACAGAGCATACACTCGCCACTTTGTCCGTCTCGCCGTCCGTCCGTCCGTCATAATTTTGTCCAGATCATAACACCTAAACTTTACGAGGTATCAACATTGAATTTCATAGGTAGAGATACCTTAACAAGCAGAAGAGCAGTGCACCAGAACCATCACTCTCTTCTGCATAATTTAGGAGTTATTGCCCTTTGTTAGTTTTCATACTTAAAGGTTGTCCGGAGCATTACACTCAAACTGTAAGAAGTATCAACATGAAACTTCATGGTAGAAAAATCTCAACAAGGAGAAGTGAAGTGCAGCAGAAGCACCACTCTCTTTTGCATAGTTAAGTAGTTATTGCCATTTGTTACTTTTAATACTTAAATTTTGTCCCCATTCGGAGAGAAGAGCCCGTCACTGACGGCCCTTGTTTGTTCCTGTATAGAAAACTGTACCAGTTAGGGAAATATAGCAGGCGTATTTAGGATGATAATTGGTGGGCTGTTTGAGAATGAAGATGTTGCCTCAGGACTAAAACGAGGTATATTACAGTGGTCAATAACACAGATTATTCTGTTAGATAACAAGCTGCTCAGTTTCATCAGATCGATAAATTTGTCGATTAATTCACAGTGACCGATATAAGAACAATACAATGTAGCATTCCTCAAGACTCGTCATCACAACATCTGACATTTCCGAGAGAAGGGTCTATCAGTGCGACCAATGTTCCTAGTCAGGCGACATAATGAAACCATTGTTGTGATCAAGCTGTGGTGGAAACTTTCACTTGTATTGTATAATATCCGTGTGGTTTTGATTGAATACGTTTTCTTTTATCATATTATTCCTCTACGGCTACAACACATGTATAGTAGTTGTGCGGTCGTTGACTGTTTCAGGACCTACACACACATTTCAGTCACAAGCTGGGACCAATTGAAGGTCCAAGGTGTGGTGAAATATTACTTTATTGTCATGTCACAAATATGTGTTTGATGTTCAATCTAGTGGTTCCATTGTGGTTTACCTTGTTCTCATTTGAGAACGTGACATTTCTTACTCAGATTGACCAAGATTTATATGGCGAGTGTCGTCGATGAAGCAGAAGACGCTTACCTTTTCGGAACACATGGCATTATTTACTTTGTCATTTTTTTGAAAATAACAGGAAGTGAAATTCACATTACAGTAGACATATTCTTTCTTGGTCACATTGACGGGTCACTTCAATGATATTCAAATATCATAGAAACATGACGACGCATTTGTTTGTACACACTGATAACACACACACACTACCTATGTAACTATCAGAACACATTTACACTATTTACATCCATATTCAAATCATTTGCGTAACACAATAGCACTATAAATATCAGCACCTAAATCATGCACACCAAATACATTTCCTCTTTGAATAACACGTGTACATATTTCACTTCCCAAATACACACAGGCGCTTTGAATAACAACGTTACAAGCATGACCACTAAAACTGTGTACGCGATACAAACTGAGACTTTTAAATATACACACCAAAGTCATGTACGTAATACACATTGACGCTTCAAATATCATTATACTCATGTACGTAATACATATTGACGCTTCAAATATCACTATACTCATGTACGTAATACTTATTGACGCTTCAAATATCACTATACTCTTGTACGTAATACATATTGACGCTTCAAATATCACTATACTCATGTACGTAATACTTATTGACGCTTTAAATATCACTATACTCATGTACGTAATACTTATTGACGCTTCAAATATCACTATACTCATGTACGTAATACATATTGACGCTTCAAATATCACTATACCCATGTACGTTATACATATTGACGCTTCAAATATCACTATACCCATGTACGTTATACATATTGACGCATTAAATATCACTATACTCATGTACGTAATACATATTGACGCTTCAAATATCACTATACCCATGTACGTTATACATATTGACGCTTCAAATATCACTATACCCATGTACGTTATCCATATTGACGCTTCAAATATCACTATACCCATGTACGTTATACATATTGACGCTTCAAATATCACTATTCTCATGTACGTAATACATATTGACGCTTCAAATATCACTATAATCATGTACGTAATACATTTTGACGGTTTCAATATTATCACCAAATATGTACATTGAACTTTTAATATATGCACTATACTCATGTACGTAATACGCTTTAACGTTTTAAATATCAGCCCCAAAAGTAATAAACATTGACGCCTTAACTTTCAACACCAAAAACATGTTTGTTATACTATCCACGCTTTGCGCCCGTGTTTCGTCTAATGAAAGGTTAACGGTTCAAGACAAACGACAGGCCTTGTGCACGTGCCTGCGGATATGTTTGTACTTTAACAGCCAAGCACTTTTAAGCTTGACTGATTTACGTCACATTGTGAGTTGTCCCCTACCCGGGGTTTCATTAGTCACTCCCCGTTTGCCTCTGGTCTCTAGCGTGATATCTCATTTGAAGGCACTCAGATTAATGTGCCGTTTTATTTTCTATTTTGTTAAATATTTTTTTATTCGTTTACTGTTATTTGCAAATCGAACTTTTCAATTATCTGAAAACAAATTACTTTCGGGGTTTCAGTTCGTATTTATCAGTACAATAAAGCTTTATATACAGACGAATTTCTTAATTTTTAACATTTTTTTACTGTTGGTAAATAGCATGGTTATGTCTGGTCGGGCGTACTTAGCGCCGTTAATGCACGTGATTTATAAAGCGATAACGACTGCGGAGAACGTACAAGTTTCAAATCTCTGTGACGTACACTTACAGAAAATAGTTCTGTTTTAAACGTAACAAGAAAGAATTACTTGTAGCATAAATACAGGAAGATCTTCCCGTCATTAAAAGAGGCTTGCTGGGGTTAGGTATGAAAGCCCATAGGCTAAATGAAATCTTCAGATAAAAATAAATATTGCAAATATAAGGAATTATACGCAATAATCATTGTGAATATAGGTATTACTATTAATTACATGTGTCTTATACTCTACATTCAAGTTCTACAGTGGCAGATTACATAACAATGATAATGTGGACGTTCATCCGAAATAGAAATCTTAAGCAACAATAGTCTATATGTGATAAACCACGTTAATAGATAATCAGCATTCCTTGGTGAATTCTACCAGAGATAAGGAGTGTTATACGGTTTTGATAGGCTTGCTTTGTTGGTGTACTTCATTTCTAATGATACATAGCCAGCTAAACCGACAGCGTCGTTCATACCATCCACGGTATGTTGAAACGTAACTTTATCTGGATGAACATTAAGTTTATTTATATAAAGGAAATGTGACTTCCCAGCCGTTAAGGTGCCACTGTAAAACTTGAATGTAGAGTGCCTGTAAGTGCGCGGAACAACGAAACATACGCGACATCTAGTCAATAGCACTGCGTGTATTCGCAATATATTTTTTACTCAAGATTTTATTTGACACCAATGGGCTTCCGTAGTTAGCGCATTAAACTCATATGTATATTTATGTTTTCATGTCGAGTTTTTTTTTTCAAAGAAAATGCTAGTCACTAAAGGCCTTTGAGCCGTGAGTGTCCCAGGTCAGAGGGCGTTCAGGTCGCGACCGCACATGACGTCAGGCATAGATCACGTGATAAAGCGACAAGAGAGGAAATCACTTCATCAGGATTATATACAATAATGACGGTTATCTAGCGCGGGAACAGAATAGGGTCAAGACTCGCTCGACATCCTCAAAGGTCAATAATCACGGACAAGGATTACGAGCGGAGCGTTTAGGTGGTCATATATTGCCATTAACTTATAATAAATGTGGTGGGATAAAAGAAGTGATATGTGTATTACGATCGAAGAGTGTGAGAAC